GCGGCTACTGGAGGGTGAACAACAGCAAAGGAAAGACCTTCTTTCGGTGTCTCTCTCTCTCACTGACCACTCTGCCTGTCCCCAAAAACAACAACAACAAACAACAACAACAAGGGAGACTTCTGGATGGATATATTTTCTTTTTTTTTTTTTTTTTTTGTTTTTTTGACAGGCAAGAGTGGACAGTGAGAGAGAGAGACAGAGAGAAAGGTCTTCCTTTGCCGTTGGTTCACCCTCCAATGGCCGCCGCGGCCGGCGCGCTGCGGCCGGCGCACCGCGCTGATCCGATGGCAGGAGCCAGGAGCCAGGTGCTTTTCCTGGTCTCCCATGGGGTGCAGGGCCCAAGCACCTGGGCCATCCTCCACTGCACTCCCTGGCCACAGCAGAGGGCTGGCCTGGAAGAGGGGCAACCGGGACAGAATCCGGCGCCCCAACCGGGACTAGAACCCGGTGTGCCGGCGCCGCTAGGCGGAGGATTAGCCTAGTGAGCCGCGGCGCCGGCGTGGATGGATATATTTTCTAAACTAAACCAGATCGTCATTGAATTATTCCAACAGAATAGGAGAGCCAGTGTAGTGACGCAGCGTTAAACTGCATTTTGTGACTCCACCAACCTGATCAGTCTGAGCCTTGGCTGCTTTGCTTCCAGTCCAGCTCCCAGGGAAGGCAGCTGGGAGGCAGCAGATGATGGCTCAATTAATGGGCAGTGCCACCCATGTGAGAAACCCTGATGGAGTTCTGGGCTCTTGGCTTCAGCCTGGCCCAGCCATGGCTACAGTGGGTATCTGGGAAGTGAACCACCAGACGGAAGATCTATTTCTGTCACTCTTTCAAATAAACACATTGTGTTCTGGTGACGAGCTGGAGCTGTGGTGCAGCTCTTTCTGCAGCCTGTGATGCTGGCATCCCATGCTAGAACACCGGTTCAAGCCCCAGCTGCTCTGATCCCCTGCTACCCACGCAAGGGGTCCAGATGGAGTTCCAGCTCCCGGTTGTGGCCTGGTTCAGTCCTGCTGCTACGGGCACTTCAAGAGGGAATCAGCTGATGGAAGATCCCTTTCTTTGTCTCTCCTTCTGTCTTTGTCATTCTGACTTTAGAATAAATCTTGAAAAACAAACAAAACAGGGTAGGCATTTGGTGTAGCAGTTACGACGCGTGCGTGCCATAATGGAGTACCTGGGCTCAAGTCCTGGCTCCAGGCTCCATTTCCAATTCCTGCTTCCTGGCAGCAGCAGGTGATGGCTCAAGTACATCATCCCTGCCACCCATGCGGGAGACCCAGATTGAATTCCAAGCTCCTGACTTTAGTGGCCTGGCCTGCTCTAGCTGTTGTGGGCATTTGGGGAGTGAACCAGTAGTGGGAGCTCTTTGTCTCTTTCAAGTAAATAAAAACTAGAAAACAAACATAAACCTCTCTTCATTTTTCCTTTTTAGCCAGTCGCCTGGGAATTACCTGGGATTCATCCTCAACAAGCCTGTGCCTTCCTCTGCCAGATCCCCTTTCTTCTTTGTCCTGTGTTAAAGTCGTTTACCCAGGCCAGCACTGTGGTGTAGGTTAAACCACCACCTGCAGTGCCAGCATCCCACATGGGCGCCCGCTGGGTCCTGGCAGCCCCACTTCCAATCCAGCTCCCTGCTAATGTACCTGGGAAAGCAGCAGAGGATGGCCCGAGTCCTTGGGCTCCCATACTCATGTGGGAGACCTGGATGAAGCTCCTGGCTCTGGCCTGGCCCAGCCCTGGCCATTGTGGACATTTGGGGAATGAACCAGTTGGTGAAGACCTCTCTCTGTGTGTGTCTCTCTCTCTCCCTCCTTCCTTCTCCTTTCCTATCTCTGCCTTTCAAATAAATAAGTAGACCTTAACAACACCAAGCCTTACCATTTCTCATGGGAGTACTGCCCTGAAAACATCTCCCTTCTCCAGCACATCCCTTTACCACAAATCCATCCTCTTGCTACTAGAGAAACCTTTCTTTCTCATTTATGTATTTGAGAGGCAGAGTTACAAAGACAGAAAGGAAGAGACAGAGAGAAAAGTCTTTCATCTGCTGGTTCACTTTTCAAAATGGCCACAACGGCTGGAGCTGAGCTGATCCAAAGCCAGGAGCCAGAAGCTTCTTTTGGGTCTCCCATGTGGGTGCAGGGGCCCAAGACTTGGGGGCTGGATTGGAAGAGGAGCAGCCAGGACACAAACTGGCATCCATATGGGGTGCCAGTGCCACAGGTAGAGGCTTAGCCTATTATGCACAGCACCGGCCCATTTTCCTTTAAAAAGACTTATTTATAAGGCAGAGTTACAGAGGGAGTGGGAGAAAGACAGGGAGACAGGGAGACAGGGAGAGAGAGAGAGGGAGGGAGGGAGAGGGAGGGAGGGAGGAAGGGAGAGGGGGACGGGGAGAGGGGGAGAGGGAGAGGGAGAGAGGGAGGGAGAGGGGGACGGGGAGAGGGGGAGAGGGAGAGGGAGGGAGGGAGATAGGGAGAGAGATACGCCTTCCATCTGCTGGATCACTCCCCAGATGGCTGCAGCAGCTGGAGCTGGTGTGATCTGGAGCCAGAGGCCAGGAGCTTCTTCCAGGTCTCCCATGTGGGTAGAAGGACCCAAGCACTTGGGCTATTTTCCACTGCTTTTCCAGGCCATAGCAGAGAGATGGATCAGAAGTGGAGCAGCCGGGACTTGAACCAGCGCCGATATGGGAATGCCAGCAGAGCAGGTGGCAGCTTTACCCTCTACGCCACAGCATTGGCCCCCGTCTTCCTAATTGCTATATTTACAGTATTATCACAGGCTTGAAACGGAGGCATCATAGACAGGCATTGAAAAGGCAGCATCAGAGAGCTCAATAAGCCATGCTGTGCAGTGGGAGACGTTGGGCAGGAGGGGCTCCCACCTTGGTAGCCAGCTCTTTCTCTCGATCCACCAGGCTCTCGATGTCCGCCGAGTCATAGCCACTGCTCTCACTGGGTGTGACGGCGCTTTCAAAGGTGGTGGTTGAGATCTGAGAGGAGATGCTGGTGGAGGTGCTCAGAGTGCCGCTGCTGAGGCTGGGGGACAGTGAGTCGCTCAGGGATTTGGGGATGCTGTCACCAAGTCTCTCCCGCAGCAGCAGGAAGTGCCGGGTTTTCTCCACCTGAGAGGATCAATATCATCACCTCAGCAAACACAAAGCTCATTAAGATCTCAAAAGCAAAACTGTAGCCTCCGTCAGTACGGAGAGTGGAAAGCCCGAGTGCGGGAGCGGGCGGCCGAGGCAGGTGATGGACCCCGTTCTGGCCTCCCAGTACCTCGTGCAGCAGCTCCAGCTTTTCCAGCTCCCACTGGTGCTCCAGGATGAGGCTGTCCCCACGGGGCCGCCAGCCGGCCAAGTTCTCCTCGCCCCGCACGTAGGCCACTGACGTGTCCAGCACCTTCCTTCTCCTCCTCTGCATGCCTGAGAGAAAAAAAACATTCTTTTCTCAGAGAGGAACTCAGTTCTAATGCTGGGTTACAGTGAATTCTTAATTCTTATGAAACACAGTAAACTAAGTGAATCTGGCCTCAACCACATGGGATTCTGTTTATTAAGGTAATGACTTTCCCCCAAAGCAGCCCTCTGAATTTGATTAAAAATTGAGTTTTAAATAGTCTATACATTATGATTCCAAATACATTCATATGAAAAAAGTGGGAAGGGACCCAACACACACACACACACACACACTAACAGAGTAGCTCAGAGGTTGCTAGGTGTCAGATGGTTGAGCTACCATCACTCTACCATTTTTTTTTTCTTTCTTTGAAGTCCTTCTGCACTTGGGCCTAACCCTAATTATTTGCTACTTGGTCTGGACTTCTTTTTCTTTTTTCTTTCCAAAGTCCCCCTTCAGGGAGCGATTGAAGGTCCTGGGTTGCCCTTTTTTTTTTTTTTTTTTTTTTTTTTTTTGACAGGCAGAGGGGACAGTGTGAGAGAGAGAGAGAGAGAGAGAGAAAGGTCTTCCATTGCCATTGGTTCACCCTCCAATGGCCGCCGCGGCCAGCGCACCGCGCTGATCTGAAGGCATGAGCCAGGTGCTTTGGTCTCCCATGGGGTGCAGGGCCCAAGCACTTGGACCATCCTCCACTGCACTCCCTGGCCACAGCAGAGAGCTGGCCTGGAAGAGGGGCAACCGGGACAGAACCGGCCCCCCGACCGGGACTAGAACCCGGTGTGCCGGTGCTGCAAGGTGGAGGATTAGCCTAGTGAGCCGCGGCGCCGGCCCGTTTTGTTATTTTTTAAGATTTATTTGAAAGACAGAGACAGAGATGATTCATCCATTTGCTGGTTTACTCTTCAAATGACTCAATGGCCAGGCCAAGGCCAGAGTCTGGAACTCCACCTGGGTCTCCCACATGCATGGTAGGAGCTCATGCACTTGAACCATCCTCTGCTGCTTCCCCAGGCACATTACCAAGGAGCTGGATCAGAAGTGAGCAGCTGGGACTTGAACCCAAGCTCATATGGGATGCCAGTGTTGCAGGAGGAGGCTTAATGCACTGGTTTTACATAGGAAATACATGAATTTATGCTGACTTAAAAATTCTTCAAGGGGCCTGGCACTGTGGCATAGTGGGTAAAGACACCACTTGCAGTATCAGCATCCCATATGGGCAGTGGTTCAAGTTCCAGTTGCTCCACTCCTGACCCAGCTCCCTGCTAGTGCACCTGGGAAACCAGCCAAAGATGGCCCAAGTCCTTGGGCTCCTGCACCCACGTGGGGGACCCAGAGGAAGCTCCTGGCTCCTGGCTTTGGATCAGCCCAACTCTGACTGATTTGGGAAATGGTTCACGTCATCTGGGGAATGAATCAGCAGATGGAAGACCTCTCTCTCCTGCCTCTGCCTCTCTGTAACTCTATCTTTCAAATAAATAAATAAATCTTTTTTTTTTTTTTGAAAGTCAGAGTTACAGAGAGAGAAGGAGAGGCAGAGAGAGAGAGAGAGAGGTCTTCTGTCCGATGGTTCACTTCCCAGTTGGCCACAACAGCCGGAGCTGCACCGATCCAAAGAAAGGAGCCTCTTCCAGGTCTCCCACGCAGGGGCAGGGGCCCAAGGACTTGCGCCATCTTCTATGGCTTTCCCAGGCCATTAGCAGGGAACTGGATCAGAAGTGGAGCAGCCGGGTCTTGAACCAGTGCCCATACGGGATGCCAGAGCTTCAGGCCAGGACATTAACCTGCTGCGCCACAGTGCCGGCCCCTAAATAAATAAATCTTTTTTTTTTTTTTGACAGGCAGAGTGGACAGTGAGAGAGGTCTTCCTTTTGCCGTTGGTTCACCCTCCAATGGCCGCCGCGGCCGGCGCACCGCGCTGATCCAATGGCAGGAGCCAGGTGCTTCTCCTAGTCTCCCATGGGGTGCAGGGCCCAAGCACTTGGGCCATCCTCCACTGCACTCCCTGGCCACAGCAGAGTGCTGGCCTGGAAGAGGGGCAACCGGGACTAGAACCCGGTGTGCCGGCACCGCAAGGCGGAGGATTAGCCTGTTGAGCCGCGGGGCCGGCTCAAACTCTTTAAAGAATCCTGACTTCTGTTCACGTTCCTGTTGACAAACATAAAATAAACTGTTTCTCCAGCCCACCCATTTGGAGGAACAGCAGTGGTCCAAAGGGATCTTAAAAGAAAGAACCAACCTGACTTGCTGATGAATTTCTAGAGTACAAGATTCAAATTCTAGTTTGGAAGCATCTGTGCAGTTTATTGCCAAAGTCATTCTAATTGACTTGTGTATAATATTTCACAGTCCAGTAACGTTTTGCTTTTTTTCCTTATGGTTTTTATAAGCATATTCTTCTTAAAAAATTTGTTTATTTGGGGGATCCGTGTTGTGGTGTAGTAGGTTAAGCCACTCCCTGCAGCGCCAGCATCCCATATGGGTGCCAGTTCAAGTCCTGGCTGCTCCACTTCTGATCCAGCTCCCTGCTAATGGCCTGGGAAAGCAGTGGAAGATGCCCCAAGTGCTAGGGCCCCTGCCACACATGTGGAGACCCAGTTCAAGTTCCTGGGTCCTGGCTTCAGCCTGGCCCAGCCCAGGTCATTGTGGCCATTGCAGGAGTGAACCAGTGGATAAAAGATTTCTCTCTCTCTCTCTTTCTGTCTTTTGCTCTCTTTCTATAACTCTGCCTTTCAAAGAAATAAATCTTAAAAAAAAAAAACCCGACTTGTAAAATATACATAGTTCCTAAAAGATCTGAAATCTATCCTACATGAGTAGACTCTCTGATCTTTTATGTGATATACTTCAAACATATGCAGAGGTAAATACCTACCTTCTCATTCTACAAGAACTTACCTGGACTACCTGTGTCTGCTATTTTACATAAGCTGAGTTCATAAATTCCAGTGACTCGATTGCTGTTGAAAATAAAACAACTGCTCAATTTCTCACAGAATAAAAATAGACAATCTCAATTCTCTCTACTAAAAATACTGTCTCCTCTGTAGGGACTGCAACTCACCATCAAAGATAATTGCAGACATTTCTTATTAGTCACTGTTCTTAGCCTATTCTAAACTTAAGTAGCTTTTTTTTTTCCTACAAGGAGCCTATTTTCATCTCAATCTTTGACCACTGTTATTTCAACAGGATGAATAAAATAGAAGACAAACTAGAAAATTTATAACACAAATGTAAAAATGAAAGACAAAACAAATTTGCTTTTTCTTACCATAAAGAGAGAGGAGACGAGGGGAAGAGCCTGACCAGAATGAAATGACAACAAACTCTGGGGATTCCAAGTAGGAAGAGGGACTGGGCCTTCCTTCAGTTGTATCACTAATGTTTACTTTTAACGCTCTGTGGCAGTGCACAAGTATTCACTGTAATATGCTTGATATACTTTATACATCTTAAATATGCAGAATAAATCTTAGAAAGAAATTCCAATAGTGACCTGTTGCAAACAGTAATGACGCCATTAAAAGCACACTACGTCCCTGCAGAACTGTTTGGAAGCGTTCACATGTGATATCCTTCATTCCCTCCTCATCCACCTACCACACTGCAGGAATGCCAGCGTGAGTCACTGCATTCCCGTGTCAGTGACCAAGATGGCTTCACGGTGAAACAGCAAGCTGGGGATATCCAAGGACAGCTGATTCTGTTGTATGGAGCAAACTAACTGAAAGCTAAACTTGTCTCAAAAACTTACGAGTCTGGTGACTTTGAGTAGCCACTGCCAAAGAGGCTGCGCAGCGAGCGTGGCGGTGAGATCCTGGCATCTCGCGAGTAGAAGACCATGCACACGTCCTTGGTGATGACAGCCGGCTGGATGCAATGATCCAACTGGAAGCAGACAGGTGTGGGTGCCGACTTAATGCAGAGAAGACCTGGGGCCGGAGCCTGTGCCCCAGTGTACTGGGAAAGCTCGTCCCAGGAGTGGAATTTCAGCTCCACCAATTATTTCAACATCAACTCAATGGATACCACGTGCAGGGTTAGGCCATATTCCTTAGAGATGCATTTATTTTCTCTGAGGCAAGCGCTATTATCACCCCTGCATGACAGATGAGCAAACTAAGCACACAGAGCTTGTCCAGAGAGGTGCAGGCAGTGAGCGTTAGTAGAGATCTGACCCCAGGCTGCCTGCAGGGGCTGGGCTGTTAACCACCCTAAGTTCTGTCCACAACTTCAGAAACAAGGGGTGAAGATTTCTTAAAATCACACATTCTTTGAAGAATGGTGATTAGGCTACTAATTCGGAAGCTTCAGTGAAAGTCAAGTGACTGAAAAAACAGAGAACGGAACAGAACCTAATAGAATCTGAACAATAAGTAAAGTATAACAAAATAAAACAATGTAAGGATGTCGTGGCAGAGAGGGGAATCAAAGTGAAATCTTTGTGACTAGGTCCTCTGTCACCTGCCCACTGCTCAGGGCTGGCTGCTCACAGCACCTGAAGTTCCCAGTGTCCTCACCTCCAGGTAGGCCGACAAGGTCATGTAGATCTTCTCTCCATAGGGGGTCACTCGATTCAAAAGAAGGGAGTTATGCAAGGAGCTGTCCCACACAGCTTCAAAACGGTAAAAGGTCCTATGGTCAGAAAGACATGAGAGAGTCATCCAAAAGAAGCTCAATTTACCAAAGTCCAAGCACTGCCACTAAGTCACCCTAAAGAACCCCACCAACCACTGGCGCTGCAATTTACCACAACCTAAAACCAGAAGGGACCACTGTCTCCTGGGAGAAGGAGGAAGGTCTCCATCCTCTTGCTCCACCATTAAACTGCATTTAGATGAACTATTTTTTTTTATTATTTTTGACAAGCTTCTCTCTATCTATAAACATAAAAACAGTGATCTCCAGCGAAGGGACTAAGAAGAAAAGGTAAGTGAGTACAGACATAAGCCCTAAGAAGAAAGAATACGACGATGTCAGTCAACAATGAGAGCAAGAAGCAAACGGTAACTTCTAAGCTTCAGCCTTTCGATCACCGGACACCTGGACATCACCACCCAGTTCTGCCTCAGAAACGTCAGATCGCAGGGAGATCAACGGTGGCGACAGCAGCAGAACTGAAGCACACAGAGCCGCGATTCAGATAAGGAACACGATTAAGACGACACTCCTAGTTGATGTTTCAGGAAAAAAGAATGAATTTTTAATACCAGAATCTGACAACTATCATTTGATAATCACCAAGAATAGCTTTTTGAAAGCCAATCTTATATTTAAATCACCACCAGAAGCTTATTTTAATAGAGACAAACTCATTGTTTTGAATTGTTCTGATCATTTTGTTCTGGTTTTGCCACTGGCAAAGACCTCAGACCCGAACTGACACTAAACACCCAACTCGGCAGTGTCATCTGAAACACTGCGGTGAGTTCAACAGTGGTGTTACAGATTACCTCGGAACGCTACCCACATCTCCCTTCGCAGATCCCCAAGCCGCTAGTCAGGGAAGATGCTCGTCTACGCCATCACCACCTGCCAGCTGCAGACGGACAGTCTACGCCATCACCACCTGCCAGGTGCAGACGGACAGTCTACGCCATCACCACCTGCCAGCTGCAGACAGTCTACTCCATCACCACCTGCCAGCTGCAGACAGTCTACGCCATCACTACCTGCCAAATACAGACAGACAGTCTACGCCATCACCACCTGCCAGCTGCAGATGGACAGGATCAGATCACCTGGGAAGAGCTCCCTGCACAACACACTCTTCCTAACACCTTCCCAAACAGAGACCTCACCAGTGATGCCTTCTCTAGCATTCCCATGGCAGAGAGCTGGCAGATCCTCTCTCTCAACACATTCCCATGCTGCTTCCTCATTTCAGAAAGTGAACTCCTTGACCACACCTCACCTTCAAGTGCCAGTGTGTAGGTCTGATCATTTCATTACTTTCTCAAATGGCTAGCTCTGAGGCAGTGAGTGTGAGTCAAGAAAGTTCCCCACAAAGATATCCAAGGAATGCAGGGAGAACTGCATCTTCTAGGAAGCTACAAATGAAATCATACCCACATGAGAAAACTCCAGGCACAAAGAAGTGTGTTAGGTACAGACTGAGGTCTTGCTCCAGGTACAGCTTATGTTTACGGGGGGTGTGCGTGGGAGGAGGGTTAGGGGTAGGTAGGGGTAGGAGGGGTATAACAATGGGAAACTAAAGCAATCAAAGCATAAACAAAAGGCATAAAGCATTCTGATAAATCAGAATCTTTATGTGCAAAACAGCAAACAAAATACCTAGGAATATCCTTATCAAGAAAGAGCCTGTAAAAACATAGAAAAGGCTTTTGTTAGTACAATAGAAAAGAAAAAAGAAAAAAAAGGGAAGAGGGATGAGGGGAAGAGAGAGAAGAGAAAAAATACTTAAAAGAGACAAATTTGCTAATAAGCCACATGAATTCAAATGGACACTGAACAAAAGGAGAACTCCATGGGACACAACTTGATAGAGGGCTCACAATGACATGGGATCCCTCTCCCGAGACTTTTAGTTAAAGAAAATGCTGGCCGAGAAGGCAGTGTGGACGGGCCAGCGTTATGGTGTAGGGCTAAGCCACTGTCCGTGATGCCAGATTCCATATGGATACTGGTTCAGGTCCTGGCTGCTCCGCTTCTGATCTAGCTCCCTGCTAGTGCAACCAGGAAAGCAGCAGAAACTGGACCACATAATCTGGCCCTTGGACCCACACAGAGATCTAAGGGAGCTCCTGCCTCCTGTCTTGGGTCTGGCCCAGCCCTGGCTGTTGGGGCCATTTGGGGAGTAAAGCAGTGGATGGAAGACCTTTCTCTCTCTCTCTTTCTCTTTCTTTGTAATTCTGCCTTTCAAATAAATAAATAAACCAATCTTAAAAAAAAAAAAGCAGGGGGCTGGTGCTGTAGCATAGTAGGCTAAGCCTCTGCCTGCAGCGCCAGCATCCCACATGGGTGCCACTTTGTGACCCAGCTGCTTCACTTCTGATCGGGCTCTCTGCTGTGGCCTGGGAAAGCAAGAGAAGATGGCCCAAGTGCTTGGGCCCCTGCACCCACATGGGAGACCTGGAAGAAGCTCCTGGCTCCTGGCTTTGGATCAGCTCAGTTCCAGCTGTTGTGGCCATTTGGAGAGTGAATCAGCAGATGGAAGACTTTATCTCTGTCTCTCCCTCTGTCTGTAACTCTACCTCTCAAATAAATTAAAATAAAAAACTTAAAATAAAAAGCAATGTGGAGACAACTTCTACCAATATTCAGAGTATCAGGAATTGTTAGAAGCTGCTATGGAGTTAAGGGGAAACCAAGTTAATTAGTTAACATAAATGTGGTACTGGGGAGAAAAGATATAATGGTCCTTGTCAATTATACTCTACCATCAGTACTTTAGAAAAGCCCTCTAAGGCAGACATGTAAGATAATTAAAATTAAACTGAAGTTCTGTAAGTTCAACTTTAAACATCAGAACAAAAGCTCTTCATCAGACTCCGTTTAACAACTCACCATATGAAGCTATGTACCCTAAAATACAAAGACTGATGTCTTTTTTTAAAATTATTTATTTATTTGAAATGCAGAGTTACAGAGAGAGAGGTCTTCCATCTGCTGGTTCACTCCCCAAATGGCTCCAAAAGCCAGAGCTGGACCAATCTGAAGCTAGGAGCTTCCTCTGGGTCTCCCACATGGGTGCAGGGGCCTACGCACTTGCACCATCTTCTACTACTTTCCAATATACTACTTTCCCAGGCCATAGCAGAGAGCTGGATTGGAAGTAGAGCAGCTGGGACTCTAACCAGCTCCCATATGGGACGCCTGCACTGCAGGCAGCACCTTCACCCACTATGCCACAGCTCCAGCCCTTGATATCCACTTTTCATTGAACATTCTAAACTACAGAGATAGTTCACATGCCCAGTTTTCTCTAAAGGTTTGAGCTGTGTGCATTTACCCAGTGTCAGTAATATCTGGTTCCAAACCTGTTTATGTTAGCTGTACTTATTATTATCTAATTTAATTAAATATTAGGCAAACCTATTAAAAATGAAAGCAAAAAAGAATTTCTATCAAAACTAAGTGAAATATTTTCAAAAGATTTGATAACTTCACATTGTTCAAAAATGTTGCTGGAGGTCGTGGGCAGCCCATATCGGTGCTGGTTCTAATCCTGCTCCCTGCTAATGCACCTAGAAAAGCAGCAGAGGATGGCCCAAGTACTTGGGCCCTTGCACCCACATGGGAGACTCAGAAGTAGCTCCTGGCTCTGGCCTGGTCCACCCCTGGCCATTGTGGCCACTTGGGGAGTGGAGGAGCAGATGAAGATCTTTCTCTGTCCTTTCCTCTAACTCTTTCAAATGAATAAAAATACAATAAATCTTCAAAAGAAAACGTTGTTAAGGAGTGAGTGTTTAGCCTAATAGATGATTGGGTCCCACACTGGGTTCCATGCCCAGCTCTGGTTCCTGACTCCAGCTTCCCATCATGTAGTCCCGGGAGGCGGCAGTGATGGCTGGAGTAACTGGGTTCTTCCACCCACCTGGACTACATTCTTGCTTCCTGGTTCTGGTCCTGTTCCAGCCCTGGCCAATGCAGGCATGTAAGGGTGAACCAGCAGACAGAAACACAGAAACATTCTCTCTCTCAAATAAAAAAAAAATTTTTTTTTTTTACAGGCAGAGTGGACAGTGAGAGAGAGAGAGAAAGGTCTTCCTTTTGCCGTTGGTTCACCCTCCAATGGCCGCCGCAGCTGGCGCGCTGCGGCCAGCGCACTGTGCTGATCTGAAGGTAGGAGCCAGGAGCCAGGTGCTTTTCCTGGTCTCCCATGGGGTGCAGGGCCCAAGCACCTGGGCCATCCTCCACTGCACTCCCTGGCCACAGCAGAGAGCTGGCCTGGAAGAGGGGCAACCAGGACAGAATCCGGTGCCCCGACCGGGACTAGAACCAGGTGTGCCGGTGCCGCTAGGCAGAGGATTAGCCTATTGAGCTGCGGCGCCGGCCTCAAATAAATTTTTAAAAATTCATATAGCTGGGGCCGGCACAGTGGCTCACTTGGTTAATCCTCTGCCTGTGGCGCTGGCATCCCATATGGGTGCCAGTTCTAGTCCCGGTTGCTCCTCTTCCAGTCCAGCTCTCTGCTGTGGCCCGGGAGGGCAGTGGAGGATGGCACAAGTGCTTGGGCCCTGCACCTGCATGGGAGACCAGGAAGAAGCACCTGGCCCCTGGCTTTGGATCGGCATAGCACCAGCAGTAGCAGCCATTTGGGGAGTGAACCAAGGGAAGGAAGACCTTTCTATCTGTCTCTCTCTGTCTATAATTCTACCTGTCAAATAAAAAAAATTCATACAGCTGTTAAGTTTGGGTAAGATAAAAAAGCAGGAAATGAGAGGGCAGTTACTTAGCACAGCAGTTAAGATGCCAGCTAAGCTGGCCGGGGCCGCGGTTCACTAGGCTAATCCTCCGCCTAGCGGCACCGGCACACCGGGTTCTAGTCCCGGTTGGGGCGCCGGATTCTGTCCCGGTTGCCCCTCTTCCAGGCCAGCCCTCTGCTGTGGCCAGGGAGTGCAGTGGAGGATGGCCCAGGTGCTTGGGCCCTGCACCCCATGGGAGACCAGGAAAAGCACCTGGCTCCTGGCTCCTGCCATCGGATCAGCGCGGTGCGCTGGCTGCAGCGCACCGGCCACGGCGGCCATTGGAGGGTGAACCAACGGCAAAGGAAGACCTTTCTCTCTGTCTCTCTCTCTCACTGTCCACTCTGCCTGTCAAAAAATAATAATAATAATAATAATAATAATAATAATAATAAAAAGATGCCAGCTAAGACTCTGGCTTGACATGGCGGCACCCGTATCACAGAATCTGGGTTTGACTAGCTCTGTTCTAATTCCAGCCTCCTGCTAATGCACATTATGGGAGGCAGCAGGTGACGGCTCCGGTACTTGGATCGCTGCCACTCACGTGGGAGACCTGGACTGAGTGGACTTCAGCATGGTCCAACCTCAGCTGGTGCAGGCATTTGGGGAGTGAACCAGCAAATGGGAGATTGGTGACTTTCTCTGCCTTTTAAATAAGATAAATAAGTAAATGATTTTAAAAAGAGAAAAATGATAAAATGTTTATGATAAATGATCAAAAGTTCAAAAGATTTTCTTCATAGGTCTATAATTCTTGGCCCACCAAACTGAAAATTAGATGATGAATTATGGGTGTGGTTTTGCAAGAAATATGATCAGAATTCCTTACAATTATAGAAAAGGCCTTGGCCCCAGAGCAAGAGCTTAATAAATATGCATGCATACAGTTTAAGTTAAAACACAAATGTTTAAGGTGTCTCTATTTTATTATTTTTTACTTCAATCAACTTTTTGGATTAACTGACCGTAAGCTTCTACTAAACCGGATAAGCTGCTCTAACAGAGCCTAATTCATTTCCTGCAGCACCTGACCTGCTGCTGAGCACAAACCAAAGGATTTTTCAAGGTCACTTGAGGCAGGCAAACAGCATAACCAGCACTGTAACCAAATACCATCTTTCCTCATGTATTTTCTTAACTACTCTAATAGGAAACTGATGATGTATTTTTCATAGTTGCGAGGAAAATGTGGTGGTGAATGCCAGCTGAACTCTGGTTCCAAATGTCTGGCAGGAGACAGAAAGTTAGGTGGAGTTGCTGCTGAGCCCAGAGAAACAGCATGGGCCTGACTTTGCCCAGGGATCCAGGGATGGCCCATGGCTCCCTCTAGATCTCTACCACACAGCTCCCCAGACTGCACACCCTTTCACACTCCTACAGCCACTGCCAGCTCCTCTCAACCACGCAAAAAAGAAAAGGCACGAAGTGGTTTCTTTTTTCCTCTTTCCTATGCAAAACTATAATACAAGGGAAGAAACTGATCCTTGCCAGGACGCTTCATCCTGTTTCTATCTTCTCCAGACGGAGCAAGTTTCTCAGGGACAGACCGAAGCAGAGAAGTCCTGTTTCCCAGCCTCAGGACCGAGTGGAGTCCCCTACAGAGATGGAGATGGACTCTCCCATCCAAACTCCTGGGTGAGGTGCCAGCCCAACATGGGACAGCAGAATGGCTGTCTTTATGCATTATTTATCATCGTGTGATAATAAAACAGCATTTTAAGAGAAACCAGTTTAAAATCAAAAGTAAAATTAAAATCATTATTTACAGCAGCCAGTCCTGGTCCCCTTTATTTACAAATGAGAATGCAAGCAAACACTGAGAGGCCGAGCCCAGACCAGCAGGCAAGGACTGAACCCGAGACGTCGGGAGGGCGCGTTCCATGACCACAAGGAAGGCAAAGCCTTCCTCCACAGCAACCGCTGCACGCAACAGTTCACCTTAGCAACAGTGAACGTGTCCTTTCAGGCCCTAGGCAGCCTGTTGGGTTTATTTTTCTGATTTTCCTTTACAAAACTCCAACTCCACACGGGAGCTTGATGGTCACAAACATCTGTCTCCAGTTCTCTTTTGTGTTGTTGGAGAGTGAGCGGGGGAAGGGGGGGAGAGGGACCTGCTTCTGCAGGGGCACCGGGAGTCACTAACGAGTGAGGAACACAGGGGCATCTGTCTCCCCGCTCCCCGGAGCACACCACCTGCTAGAGTTGTGGGAAGACTTCAGGTACTTGGCGGAGATGATGTTTAGGGAGAGGATGGCATCCACTGCAGCTTCGTCCACCTCAGGCTTATTCCTAATCCGGCCTGAAAGAAAGGAGAAAGAAATCAGGTATGGTCAACTGGAAAACAAAACAGAGATTCGTCAACCCATTACGTCCCCTGTCCTATATATGATACCCATCAAGATTTAAACTGAGTAATAAATAGACCACTTATGGTAAGTGAATATTATGCACTGAAATATTCACAGCACTGAGAATTTGGGACTCAGTGGGTTAAATTTCTGGGTAACTTCAGGCCTGGAGGCGTCTGCTTAGCCTGGGGCCCTGCTTTCTTCCCCTTTACTTCCCACTTTTTCCCACGAGTACCTATAGTGCTCCCCTCACCGCTGTGAGACCTGGGCACAGATGTGTACCTACAGTGCTCCCTCACTACAGTGAGACCTGGGCACAGACGTGTACCTACAGTGCCCCCTCACTACAGTGAGACCTGGGCACAGACGTGTACCTACAGTGCCCCCTCACTGCTGTGAGACCTGGGCACAGACGTGTACCTACAGTGCTCCCTCACTACAGTGAGACCTGGGCACAGACGTGTACCTACAGTGCTCCCCTCACTGCTGTGAGACCTGGGCACAGACGTGTACCTACAGTGTCCCCTCACTACAGTGAGACCTGGGCACAGACGTGTACCTACAGTGCCCCCTCACTACAGTGAGACCTGGGCACAGACGTGTACCTACAGTGTCCCCTCACTACAGTGAGACCTGGGCACAGACGTGTACCTACAGTGTCCCCTCACTACGGTGAGATGCTGGGCACAGACGTGTACCTACAGTGTCCCCTCACTACAGTGAGACCTGGGCACAGACGTGTACCTACAGTGCTCCCCTCACTACAGTGAGACCTGGGCACAGACGTGTACCTACAGTGCTCCCTCACTGCTGTGAGACCTGGGCACAGACGTGTACCTACAGTGCTCCCCTCACTACAGTGAGACCTGGGCACAGACGTGTACCTACAGTGCCCCCCTCACTACAGTGAGACCTGGGCACAGACGTGTACCTACAGTGCTCCCTCACTACAGTGAGACCTGGGCACAGACGTGTACCTACAGTGCTCCCTCACTGCCTGTGAG